AGAGAAAGTCAGGGTTCTGTAGTGGACAGCATCCTGGGCTGAGCTCGGAGGCCTTGGAAACTGCCCGGGGCAGGCCCAAGGGAGTCCCCTTTGCTTCTGCCCTAGTGGGGTTTTCTAGGTGTCCCCAGTTTTGGTGCTAAGTATCTCTTCTGTGGAGTTTCAACCTTAGCATTTTTTTTTCTTTTTTTTTTTTGTTGTTGTTGTTGTTGTTTTGTTTTTGTGACACGGTCCTGTTAAGTAGTCCAGGCTGACCTCTAACTCAGTGATCCTCCTGCCTCAGCCTCCCGAGTGCTAGGGTTATAGCCGTGTACCATCATACCCGGCAGATATTTTGATATTTGGGGCCAGATATTTATTTGTTAACAAGGGTGTCCTGTGCAGTGATTCTAGGGTATTTGTAGCAGGGTTCCCTCAGCCTCTTCCTGTGGCTGTCAGTCACACCACCCCAGTTGTGTTCCTCGCTTCCAGATGCAGTGTGGACCACCAAGCCATGTCGCAGGGAAGAGCTTGGTGGCGTTAATCCCATGATCAGGCCCTCCTCTTGCCTTTAGGATGAGGTGGTAGTAAATGACCGATGGGGAAAGAACTGTTCCTGTCACCACGGAGGATACTACAACTGCCAAGATAAATTCGTGCCTGAGAGCTTGCCTGATCACAAGTGGGAGATGTGTACCAGCCTCGACAGGGCGTCCTGGGGCTACCGGCGGGACATGAGCTTGGCCGACGTCTTGAGCGAGACTGAAATCATTTCGGTAAGCGTGCCTTGGAGCTGCGGCTCGCTGACTCCACCCGACACACTGCTCAGGAGTGACCAAAGCGGGTCAGCAGACCTCAGCTGTTGGGCGGGCAATAGAAAGCTGTCCTCGGAAATGACTGTCATTACAGGAAAAAGTTTTACGTTTATAGTTTAGCTAAGCTTGGAAGGCAAAAATATGAAAATCTGGTGACTTTTCCACCTGGGGAAAGAAAGTCAGGGTTCTGTAGTGGAGAGCGTCCTGGGCTGAGGTCGGAGGCCTTGGAGACTGCCCAGGGGAGCCGCTCCCCCTTTGCCTCTGCCCTAGTGAGAGTGCCCGTCTTCCTGGGGCTATTTACAATTAGACGTGAGTGTGGTCTCAGCTTCTCACAACCACTAAGTCGAAGAGAGGATTTTCTTCGCCACTAAAATGTTGAGAACCAGAAGTGGAGGAGGAACTCCTGGCAGGGCCGAGATATTTTTCCCTTCTTTTCTCTCTCTCTCTCTTTTTTTTTTTTTTTTTAATTTTTCCTTCTTTCCTTTTCCCGTCCTCTCTTTGTTCCCAGCTCCTCATTTGAACATTTTCTTCCTACTTCACAATACCTATTACGCATTTTGACTTTTATTTACACTTCTGGTTTCTCACGCCAGAGAGACGATACAGTATGGACACAGGTTTGTCTGATTTATTTCACTTAAGAGTATGGTCTCGAGGTGCATCCATTTAGCTAGAAATATCTTAAGTGTATCCTTCTTTATGGCAGAGTAGTACTCCACTGTGTAGAGAAAGCACATCTTCTCTAGCCATTCACCAGTTGGTGGGCATGTAAGCTCGTTCCAAAATTTGGCTATTACAAACTGTGCTGCTATAAACATAGGTGTGCTTATTAGCACTGTGGTAGGATGCTTTTCATTCTTCGGGAGAAGAGCTGAAAACCTGAGGCAAATGGAACCTGTAGTCTTACTTCTTTGAGGAACCTCCACGCCACTTTCCACAGCGGTTGCACCGCTGCACACTCCCAGCGAGAGTGGAGAAGGGTTCCTCTTCCCCCCAGCCTCCCTCAGCGCTTGTTATTAGTTAATTTCTTGATAATTGGCCATTCTTTCTGGGATGAGA